CACGGAGGAGGGCCAGCGCCCCATCCCGTTTCCTTTCCGATTCGCAGAGGGAACTCGCATTGGGCGTCCGCGAGTCCGCAGAGCCGCACGCAGCACCTCCCAGCGGAGCCCTGCCAACTCGCGGGAAGCTCCACCACCGAGTCCGGCCCCAGGCCCCGCCCTTCAGCGGTCAGGCCACGCCCACCACCAGCTGATCTTAGGCCACGCCTCTACTGCCCTCGGGCCACACCCTCCAGCCAATCCTGATGCTCCTGCCCCTCCCACCCTCAGGGCACACTTTCCCCGCCAGCACTCAGGCCACGCCCCTTCCACTCCCTAGGCCATAACCCTTCAGCTAGTCCTCGCGGTCCCGCCCGAGGCCACGCCCCCAATCCGCTCAGCTTCTTGCCAATCCTCTGCCTGTCCTCCTAGCTCCGCCCCATTCACTCTAGCGCCGCCTCCAGCCTCCACAAGCCCTTCCCTTATGACTCGGCCCCGCCCACCTCCATGCCCCTCCCCTTCTGCCCTCTCGGCCCCGCCCCTGGCCTCTTCCTGTCACCCTCCCAGGCAGTCATGAGGGGCTGGTGGAAAGTGAAGAATGGGAGAACTCCAGGCAGAGGTCCCGACTGGCCTCTGCAGGGCTCTGGGGATGAGGGCAGGGCTGGCGGGGCTAGGGTCCCCGGGTCCACGTTCACTTCTGCTCATGAACTGCCCCCACCACCCCTCTGTCCATCTACCTACTGTGGTGGCCCTTCGCCTGCCTCCTCTGCCCACCCGGTGACCTGGCACCAGGAATCTTTTTCGGGGGACGGGGTGTGGGGGGATCTGATGTGGGATTTGAACTCAGTGGCTCAAGCTTGCTCAGCAGGCATCTACCTCCGAGCCATGCCTCCAGCCCCTTTCTGCATGTTTTTGTGTGCCAGTACTGGGGCTTGAACTCAGGACTTCACATTCCTCTCACTCAGCTTTCTTGTTCACAACTGGCGCTCTACCACCTCAGCTGCATCTCCAGTGCAGCACTGCTTTTTTTTTTTTTTTTTGTCAGTTGTGGGGCCTGAATGCTGTCCCTCAGCTCTTCAGCTCAAGGCTAGCGTGCTCTACCACTTGAGCCACAGCGCCACTTCCGGCTTTTTCTGCTTATGTGGTGCTGAGGGCCTCATGCATGTAAGGCAAGCACTCCACCACTGAGCCACCTTCCCAGCCCCAGCACTGGCTATTTTTGAGATAGTCTGTACTTCCTGTTCCTGTAATGAGATCCTCTTTTCTTTTTTCATAGCTGACATGATCAGTCAGACATATCCAATTTCTTCTGTTGGGATGGAGTCTCCCACACTTTTCCTTCTAGGCTGGCATGGAACTTTGATCCTCCTGATCTCTGCCTCTCATGTAGCTAGGATTCCAGGCATGAACCCCAGGTGCTTGGCTACTTTCTCCTTCAGATGACTTGTATGTTAGAAACGACATCTCTAAAGATGCAAAGAGCCAGGAGGTCACAGATGGAACCGAAGGGCCCTGGCCACTTGTCATCTTGGATGTAAGGAACCAGAAGGCCAGACAGGCACCGGCAGACCTCCCTGCCTGGGCCGAGCAGCCTGAGCCCAGTGGATAGGAAGCGGCTGACACCCTGGAGAGTCCCAGGCCAGGCTTGCTGGGCCGGTCAGGGTGTGGCCGTGTCCTGGGGCTGCGCTGGGTTGAGGCTGAGCTGGTGATGGTGTTTCTAAGAAGCTGGATTTTTCCTCTCTCCTCCTCCTGGGTCTCTCTGCCAATCTGGCCAGCGCTTGTGGTGCCCATGGCTCCCCTCTGCCCCTGGGACGTGAGGCCGCTTTCAGCTATTTGTCCTCTCTGCCAACTCCCCATTTTTCTGCCAACTCCTCAGTTTTTTAGCCCATTCACTGTGGGCTGATGTCCAGCGCAGCCGCTTGTCACTCCACTGGCTCTTCCAAAGGCGGGGCAGGGACGTGGAGAATGCCTAGTCGGCTCCAACCAAGCCACACAGACTGGGCAGGGTGGGTGGGACAGAGCCCTGGTTTGAAGCCGGCTTCAACTCCTGCATCTTCCCTCAGGGTTTGGGGGTCAGAATACCTGGGTTCTTAGCAATCCTGTCACCTCGGCAGTTCATCACAGCCTGGGCCTCGATTTCCCCACTTGGACAATGGGTACAATAATCCACAGCAGAGTGGGCAAGCTAAGCCACCTGAACACAGCACATGCCACAGCACCCCACCTCACCCCACCCCCCTTCCCAAGGCACAGCGGGAACTCTGAGCCCTGGCGATGTTTGGGGAACATTTTAGAACCTGAACTTTTTTTCAACCAAATTCTTTTTTGAAGCCCTGACGGAGTGTGCAGCAGCCAACTGTGAAAGCAGACGCTCCAGGATCTGCTTTAATAATCTGCGCCCGACGACGTTTCAAAACCCAGAACCTCTGGAAACAAGAGACTCTGGAAGAAAGAAAACTGATTGAAATAGCAAAATGGCTTCCTCTAGATGGATTGCTTTTTAAATGTCCAATTTTTGCAGATGGCTTTGAAATGAAGGCAGTTCCACCAAAGCTAGTTTCCACTAGCATTCTATACCCTTCTTCCCCCCACCCCTCGCCTTTCTCCACAGTATTAGAGTTTGAACTTAGGAGTCTCAATGCTTGCTAGGTGGTGCGCCAACCATTTGCACCCACACCACCAGGCATTTTTGCTTTAGTTATTGTTTTAAAGAGGCTTTTTTTTTTTTTTTTACTCAGGCCAGCCTGGGCCATAATCCTATTCCTATTGCCTTCCATGTAGCTGGAATTATAGCTGTGTATCACAATGCTCAGCTTGTTGGTTGAGATGAGGTCCACTTTGATGGGCTACTTTTTGTTGTTGTTGATCTGGGATGCCTTGAAACACAATTGTTCTGATCTCCACCTCCCAAGTAGCTGGGATTATAGGAGTGAGCCGCCATGCCCAGTCTCAACTATTATTTTCTTTTTTGTTGTTGTTGGTCGTGGGGCTTGAACTCTGGGCCTGGGTGCTGTCCCTCAGCTCTTTAGCTCAAGGTGAGCACTCTACCACTTCAGCCACAGTGCCACTTCCAGTTTTCTGGTGGTTTATTGGAGATAAAAGTCTCAGGGATGGGGCTGGGAAGGTGGCTCAGTGGTACAGTGTTTGCCTTGCATGCATGAGGCCCTGGGGTCGATTCCTCAGCACCACATAAGCAGAAAAAAAAGCCAGAAGTGGTGCTGTGGCTCAAGTGGTAGAGTGCTAGCCTTGAGCTGAAGAGCTGAGGGACAGCTCCCAGGCCCAGAGTTCAGGCCCCACGACCATACCCCTCCCCCCCCAAAAATCTCAGGGACTTTCCTGCCCAGGCTGGCTTTGAACCGTGATCCTCAGATCTCCGCCTCCTGTGTAGTTAGGATTACAGGCGTGAGCCACCAGTGCCTAGCAACTCTTTTTTTCATGAGAAGATATTCACCTAAATAGGACACAGCCTGCCATCTAATGACAAAATAAAACAGCTTTATTCTTATTGTGCTAGATGAGAAAATCATTCTCAAGGTTCCTACTCCAAATATGCTTAAAAGATGCCTTCCAGGCCCAGGCAGGGGCTGGTGATCAGCCACTGGGCCATCCCTGCCGAGCTAGGAGCCAAGTGGGTGGGTGTGGGCATCTGGGCAGGCCTGGACACCAACTCTGCAGCCACATGCTCCCTCCTACTTTGGTTGTCCTGTAGGAGGAGTGTGTGTGTGTGTGTGTGTGTGTGTGTGTGTGTGTGTGTGTGCCTTGATTTTGAGGCCTCAGAGCTGCTTGCTTTTTCACACAAAGTTGGTGCTCTACACTTGATCTACAGCTCCACTTCAGGCTCTTTGCTGGTTCATTGAAGATAAGAGTCTCACAGACTTTCCTGCCCTGGGCTCACTTCGATCTCAGCCTCCTGAGTAACTGGGATTACAGGTGTGAGCCACTGTGCCCGGCTCTGTAGGAATTCTTGAGACTAGCTTGGTCAGCCTCTGCCAACTGGAGTCACAGCAACCCGAGTACTCAGTCTCTGTGCGTGAACTTTCATGGAACATGATATGCAGGACATCGCCTGGGCCACAGGCAGGTGCCAGTGTGTATGCTTGCCAATGGAGGATGGGGCTGAGGCTGAGACAGGAGGAAGACATGCCTCCACATTGCCCTACCATTCAGGGATTTCGAGTGTCCTCTCCTCACACACTGAGCTCCCATGATGGCACAAATGGAGGTTTGGAAGTATTGTTTGTCTCCTCAAGATAATTCCAGGAGTCAGAACTGAGTTACAACCTCCAGGCCACTGTCCAAACAGCTTATCCTATCATATCTGAGTGGCGATGAGTCACTCTGCTCCTCTCAGAGCAGAAGGCAACCACAGCTGGCCACCAGTGGCTGACATCTGTAATTCTAACAGTCTAGTAGGCTGAGATCTGGAGGATCATGGTCAAAAGTTAGCCTGGGCAGAACAGTTTGTGACACACTATCTCTATGAACCAGCAAAATGTCTGACTGGAGGCATGGCTCAAGTGGAACAGCACTGGCTGTGAGGAAGAAAGACAAGTGAGCTTAAGGTCCTGAGTTCAAGCCCAAGGTGCATGGCCAAGTGGTAGAGCGCCTTCCTAGCAAGCATGAGGCCCTGAGTTCAAACTCTAGTACTAACCCCCCCAAAAGTGAAAAATTACTGAAGCAAAAGAAGGCTGGGGGGCATAATTCAAGGAATATCTGCCTAGGAAGCAAAAGACCTTCGTTTAAAGCCGGGCCCCGGCGGCTCATGCCTGTAATCCTAGCTACTCAGGAGGCTGAGATCTGAGGATCGAGGTTCCAAGCCAGCCCAGGCAGGAAAGTCCATGAGACTCTTATCTCCAATAAACCACCAGAAAACCGCAAGTGGCGCTGTGGCTCAAGTGGCAGAGTGCTAGTTTTGAGGGACTGAGGGACAGCGCCCAGGTCCAGAGTTCAAGCCCCACAACCAACAAAACCAAACAAAAAACAAAAACAAAAAACAAAACAAACCTACGCTCAAACCTCAGTGACATCAAAAATACAGTATTTGTATTTTACATAAAATGTTAACAGGTTATAACAGTCATATGACTTCTGTCTTAATTACTCAACCAAGTTTACCAAATGACAATGTCACTCATTCAAAAGGTCTGAGTGAGGATCCTGCGTGGTATCAAACCTGAAATGACAGCAGCTTCAGGTGTGGCTTTGCCAGCGTGGGTCCTGGGGAGGGTCCTGGGGCCTTCTGCCCCCATCTAATCTTAGGGCAGTGCATCTACATTTGGTGATCTGGTCATACTGGCTCTGGACTTTGAGTCTGACCAGTTGGCACAGCCCATTTCCAGCACAGGGCGCTGGGCCCAAGGATCCAGCTGGGTCACAGGCCCAGCCCTGAGCACTGAGCAACTGCTTAGGGGTGCCATGCTCAGCTGGGGTGGGGAAAGCCCTGCTCAGTCTCCCAAGCTGTTGAGGTGGGCAGAGATGGTCAGCAGGGAGCAGGTGGGCAAAAGCAGGAGGCACTTGCTCCTAACAGCTCCTTCCTGCCTTCCCTTTCCTGGAGGTGAATTCTGCACAGGCCATCCAACTCTTACTGGGCTGTCTTTTGGGGGTTTAGGAGTGGAGGCTTGACATGTCACTTATAAATAATAATTACCCAGGAATCTTGGCTGGGGGGGCCTGCCCAACTCGTTGATGGTGCCATCCCTCACCCCCATCCCGGAGATCTGGGAGTCTTGTTATTCTTCAGGGTGGAGTCCCGGGGGAGAATGCTGTTCCCAGCATGGCAGCGGCAGTGTCCCTCCTGCCTCCTTGGGCTCGAGGAGGGGTCATGGAGGGACACTCAAGAGGACCCCGGCCTCGTGTGGAAGGGGAAGGTCCTGGCTGTCCTCTGTGCTTACAGGACGGGGGTCCCTTGCCTGTGCACCCTGGCTGTCCAGGGCAAGGTGAGGCTGCTCTTGGGTTCTTCACACAGGCCAGGAGGAAACCCCCCTCCACGGGCCGCCATCTGCAGGGCTGGCGGGTGGCACTAGGGTCCTGGGGCCACACCCCTGCCTCTTCCATGCCTGCTGGGGCCAGCTCCCAAAGGCATAACCTATAGCCAACCTGCAGAATGGAAGGTTCCAGAACAGACCCAAACATGCCCCATGCTGTGTTTGGGAGGGTGGCCACCCACCCCCATACCACCCTGGCAGAGTGCCTGAACTGTTCTCACCACAGGGCCCCACACTGCCAATCAGGAACTGTACCCCATACCAGGCTCTACCCTGTCCCCATGAGAGAGCTGGGGGGGATGGGGGAGGCACAGGCCCTGGATCCTCCTGACCCCTCCCGCCTCCCCACGGGGCAGACACAAGGGACAGGCACTTAGCACATGCTGGCTCCGCCCCTTCCGGTGCCCTGTGCCCAGTGTACCACTGTCCACAACAGCGCCCCCTGCAGGCCTGGGCAGCACCACTTCTCCAGGAGCCTGAGGCTCCTCAAGCTCCTGTCACTGTCCCTGAAAGTGACTGGCACCCGGCCTGGTAGCAGAGGCTTCCCACCCTCGTGGCCTCACAACCTGAGCCCACAAAGCTCCTCAAACACGCAACCACTGCCAACACCGTCCTGGCCCAGCGCACAGGCACCAGGGACGGCTCCACGGTGAGTGTGCACCGAGTCATGGCTGTAGAGATGACATTCCGAAATTCCTGACAGCAGCCGGGCATGGTGGCACACACCTGTAATCCCAGGCCTTCAGAGGATGCAGCAGAAGGATCACAAGTTCTAGGCTAGCTCAAGCTCCTTGAATCTCCCAACTACTAAGTTCATGAACCTCTGTCCTTTGTAACAGCACCCAGCCTTGGAGATTTCCATTACACTAAGGAAAATGACCTGGTTCCGAGTTTAGATTTCTCCTTCCTGAAGACACCTGGAGTGGGGTGTGGAGCCCCCACTCACCCCTGCCCGGCCCAAAGAACCACAAGAGCCCCAGGGACCTGGGTGCCACGTTTTACTCCAGCTCACTCCCACTTTCCTATTAAATATCTGAAATATATTAATCTTAGAAAACAATATTAACATGGTGCCTGTAAATACAGGCTGTGGCGGGCATGGTGAGTCCAGATTGCAAAACAGTGGCTTATTTTAAAAAAACAAACAAAACACGGAGTGTGAGGCGCTCCCTGGCCTGCGGGGTGGGAGTGTGGGGGGGCCGAGCCCCTGTGGCCCTGTCCCCCCCATCTCAAGCACGTGGCTGCGCTCTGAGCACCTTTGCGGTGCAGGGCATTCAGTCTCTGAGCAGGTTTTCGGGCTTGGGGTATCCGAAGAGGACGAAGTCGGCTTCGTAGAGTTTGTACAGCTGGCGTCTCCAGGCCAGGGGGATGCCAGCAAACCAGCCCTCCTCCCAGCTGCTGGCCGTCCTGTTCCTGTAGCTGGGGGGGAAGTGCAGCCTCCCGTCTACCTTGAGCAGCCTGAGCAGCTGGGCAGCGTCATCATCCAGGGTCTCCAGCTTGCCCACGAAGTCGTAGTCGATCTGGCACGGGTGGCAGAGGCGGTAGATCTGACGCCAGTGCTCATTGAAGGGCGCCAGCGTCTCGGTGTGCGGGTCGAGCAGGTACTGGATGAAGTGCGCGAAGGTGACCTTGAGGCCGGCGCGGAAGGCCTGGCTCACCGAGGCAGGCGGGCTGCTGTGGTTGGCGTAGCGGCGCAGCATGGGCATGGCGAACTTGCGGTAGAACTCGTCGTTCTCCAGCTGGAACTTGCTGCGGAAGGCGGAGATGAGGCGCACGAAGGGGTCGCGCACGAACAGGAACTTGGTGTACTTCTGCAGCTTCACCTTCATCAGGTGCCGGGAGAAGCGGCCGTAGCGGCGCCAGAACTTGTTGAAGGTCAGGTGGGTGCTGGAGTTGTGCACGTGCTCGCGGGGGATGGCCAGGGGGTCGCGGTACGGGGCCCCGCGCTCCAGCAGGCTCCCGCTCAGCACGATCATCACCCGCTTCCAGTTGGTGCAGGCCACCTTGGGCACGTAGCAGTAGATGACGCCATGGCGATCGTCCACGATTAGGTGGTTGAGCTCGTAGTTGGGGATGTCCTCGAACGCGCGCTCCTTGGTGGGGAAGGCCAGGCTGGCATTGGCACAGAAGCCCTGCAGCACGCGGCGCCTCTCGGCCTGCTGCTGGCCCTGGTCGGCGCTGCTCTGGGCGTCGTGGGGGGACCAATCGTAGCCCCGCACGCTCTCCTCCATGGGGCTCTGGGCCCCAGGGCTGGGGACCAGCACCGCGGGTGGCTCTGTCTTCTTTCTGGACAGTGCTGTCTCGGCATCGGGGCTGAGGATCTTATCCAGCAGTGGGTCTGCCTCAGAGGGGAGCTGGAGGTCCTCGCCCTGCCCCGGGGTGGGGCCCGGCTCCGGGCTGTGGGGCCGGGACAGGGCTGTGTGCAGGTAGAAGTGGGCCGTGCCCACGTTGTCCCAGTACACGATGATGAGGAGGATCATGAGCGCCGAGCCCAGCACCAGCCACAGCCGAAAGAGCCGTGCCTTGGCCATGCTGCCCGGGCCGGTACGGGCAGTGCCCAGTCTCCCTCACTGCAGCGGGGCTGACAGCTGGGACATGGCGCCCACAGCAACCTGGAGGGGTGACAGCACACTTGTTAGAGATGCCTTCTTCCTGGCCAGGTGCCAGTGGCTCACACCTGCAATTCTAGCTACTGAGGAGGCTGAGATCTGAGGATCATGCTTCAAAGCCAGCCTCAGGTAGGAAAGGCCAGGAGAGTCTCATTTCCCATTAACCACCAGAAAACCAGAAGTGGTGCTGTGGCTCAAGTGGTAGAGTGCTCACCTTGAGCAAAAGATCTCAGGTACAGGGCCCAGGCCCTGAGTTCAAGCCCCAGGATCAACAAAAAAGAAAGAAAGAAAAGAAAAGAAAAGAGAAGAGAGAGGGGGAGGGAGAGGGAGGGAAAAGAAAAGCAGGGGCTTCTCCCAGGGGTGGAGGCCTGGGGTGGGCCACATGGCGCCTGCTCCAGTCCACCCTGTGGGTAGCCAGCCCATCCTCCATCCACAGGAGCTAGGTGTTATGCCAGGGACATGGTGGGGTAGCCCAGCAGGGACAGGCACAGTGAGACAAGGCAGGGCTGGCCAGCATACCACCTTAGTCCCTTCCCGGGGGGCAGAAAACATTAGTCACACAAACATTTGTCCAAAGAAGGCAGGAGTGGCTATTCATATCAGATGAAGTAAACTCTGGAAGGAAAAACTTGCTCAAGACAAAGAGGGAAATTACATAATAACAAAAACTTCAATCCTCCAAGAAGATATCTTCTTCTTAACTGTAGAGGCACCAAACCAACAAAAACAGAGCCTCCAAACACATAAAGCAAAAACTTAAGATGCATTCACAATTATGGTTAGAGACCTCAACTCTCTGCCTTTAATCACTGGGAGACTGCTAGACAAAATCAGCAAAAATGTAACACCAGCATGCGACAGGAGCTGTAAGTATAAGAGACAGGCAAATACTCTTTTATCTGGCTTACATAATTGTAACTTCTCTGTACATCACCTTTAGAATAACAAAAAAAATAATTTTTTAAAAAGAAGCAGGCAGAACTCACCTTTTTTTTTTTGCCAGTCCTGGGGCTTGAACTCAGGACTTAAGTACTGTCCCTGGGCTTCTTTTGCTTCAGGATAGCACTTGAGTCACAGAGCCACTTTTGGTTTTTCCTGTTTACTGAGGAATGGATCCTGGGGCTTCATGCATGCTAGGCAAGCACTCTACCACTAAGCCTCATTCCCAGCCCTGGAATGCACCTTTCACAAGGACTGAAAACATTTTTCCAAGCCTCAGGTGAGATGGGGGTGCTGAGCAGTGCTCATCGTTCACCATGCTAGATCAGACCAACCACGTGTACATAAAATCGTACAGAACTCTCTGGTCATTGTGGAATAAAACTAGAAATCAGGGGCTGGGAATGTGGCTTAGTGGTAGAGTGTTAGCCTTAAGCAAAAGAAGCTGAGGGACAGTGCCTGGGACCTGAGTTCAAACCCCAGTCTTGGAAAAAAAAAAAAAAAGTAAAAACTAGAAATCGGTAAGAGAAAAGACAACAGGAAAATCTGCAGACACTTGCAAAGTCAATGAGTCATTTCGACACAATCCATGGCTTGCAGATGCCTCAAAAGGAATTTCTGAAAAGCCACAGGACTGAAAGAAAATGGAAGTGCTATGTACCAAAATCTGCAGGCTGCAGCTGACAGCACTGGAAAAGGGGAGACTGCAAACCATTCATCCAAGCTCCCCCTCAGGAACTAGGGAAGAAAGAGCAGAAGAAACCAAAGGCAACCAGAAAGAAGAAAGTAATAAAGACCGAAAAAAATGCAGAAATCAATGAAATGAAAAACTAGGTTAGCCATGTGGGTGGCTCACGCCTGTCATCCTATCTACTCAGGAGGCTGAGAGCTGATGATCACGGTTCAAAGCCAGCCTAGACAAGAAAGTCTGTGAGACTCTTATCCCTAATTAGGTAGCAAAAGCTGGAAGTGAAGCTGTGGCTCAAGTGGTAGAGTGTCAATCTTGAGTGGAAAAAACTAATGCTCTACCACTTTGAGCCACAATGCCACTTCTGGTTTTCTGGTCATTAACTAGAGATCGGAGTATCACGGACTTTCCTGCCCAGGCTGACTTAGAACTGTAATCCTCAAATCTCAGTCTCCTAAGCAGCTGGGATACCAGCGCTTTTGCTGAGCAAAAGAGCTAGTCTTACAAAAAACATTGGGAGGCAGAAGTAGGAAAATCACAGACCAAGCTGGTCCTAGAAAAAGTTAGCAAGCTAGGCACCAACAGCTCACACCTGTAACTCAGGAGGCTGAGATCTGAGGATCCCAGTTTCAAGCCACTCCAGGCAAGAAAGTCTGTGAGACTCTTTATCTCCAATAAACTACTCAGACAAAGCTGGAAACGGCGTGTGGCTCAAGTGATAGAGTGCTAGCCTTGAGCAAAAGAAGCTCAAGGACAGTGCCCAAGCCTAGAGTTCAAGCCCCACGACCACCACCGCCACCACCACCACCAAAAACAAACCAGGCATGGTAGTACACCCCTGTGATCCCAACTACTCAGGCACAGAGAAGATTGTGGTCCAGGCTGGCCTGGGAAAAGCACCAGACCTTATCAGAAAAGCAACTAAAGCAAAAAGACTGGGGTGTGGCTCAAATGGAAGAATATCTGCCGAGCAAGGGTGAGGCAAAGTTCAATCACCAATATTACAAAAAAAAGTTGATAAATTTATAGTCAGAGTCTTATGAAGACAGGACACAAGGATAAAAAAGGTACTTCAGACAACTTTACACTCACAAATTCAGCAAGATGGATGAAATGAACTATTCGTTGAAAACCACAAGCCACTGAAAGCAATGACCCTGCGCTCACAAATAAAGCTGAACCCATCATTTAAAAGCTACTGGAAATGCAAGTAACCAGATTGATTCTGGACTGGCCCTTCAGCTAATATTCATGCTGAGAGCTGAGCAGGAAGGATAAATAGCCTTGAAGGCCTGAGGGGACTAGATCTTTCTAGAAAGATCTAGAAAGCTTGGGGGCAGAATGGTCCTTGGACACGGAACTGAGAGGATCAGGGCAGATGGACAGCCAAGAATGAAGCAAGAGTTGGTGAGGAGAGCACAGGAGGATCGCAATCTCTAAGGCCAGCTCCAAGCAGAAATGTGAGGCTCCGTCTGAAAAATAAAGCAATAGAGGACTGGGGGCATAGCTCAAGTGGTGGAGCTCCAACTAGCAAATGCAAGGCCGTGAGTTCAAATCCCAACACAAACCCCCCTCCCCCCACCCCAACACACACAAGAATCGCAACTCCAAGTGAACAGAGAGCGCTGTGAACCACGCAGGCGCACAGCCCCAGTGTGATCAGGTCTGTGCATTCCAGAGACTGTGACAGCTGCGGCTGTTTGTAGAGACTGACACATTTTTAAAGGTATGAGGAAATGAAAGGCAGCTAGAATGGCCAAAACAAGCTTGTGAGTAGCGACACCCACACCGGTGTTTCCAGATAGAAGGGAGAGCCGGTGCATGTGATGGACACGCAGCCAAGACAGGGTTCGAGGGGATGGCCACACACAGGGTCTACCACCCACTGAGGAGGGGACGGCCCTTCACCAGCCAGGATGGAGCAACTGCGCGTCAAATGGGGGTGTGTGGAACGGCCCTGCACCCCAGTCCACACCACACTGAACCTCACTGTCCTGCACATGGGCACCAGATTGTAACATCTTCACAGGAAAAGAAACACTGCCACAGCTTTGGGGGGGCAGAGGCGTGTGAGGGTGCCAGCAACGCAAGCTGTAAGGGAAAAACCGGCTTCGATTTTCCCGGAATTCAAAGCCCAGGCTCTGCAAATCTTACCACGAAGAAAATTAAAGCCAGATGCTGGTGGCTCACGGCTGAGATCAGAGGCTGTGTTCAAAGCCAACCTGGGCAGGAAAGTCCCTGAGACTCTTGTCTCCAATTAACCACCAACAAATGCGAAGTGACGCTGTGGCTCACGTGGTAGAGCACTCGCCATGAGCTGACGAGCTGAGGGACAGCACCCAGGCCCAGAGTTCAAGCCCCACAACCTACCAAAAAAAAAAAAAGAAAAGAAAAAAAGAGCATTTCAGAAGGCAGAGAATGTGCTTGCTTTGCATGTATGAGGCCCTGGGTTCAATCCCTCAGTTCCACATAAACAGAAAAAGCCGAAAGTGGTGCTGTGGCTCAAGTGGAGGAGTGCTGGCCTTGAGTAAAAGAAGCTTAGGGACAGGGCCCAAGCCCTGAGTTCAAGCCCCAGGACTGGCAAAAAAAAAAAAAAAAGAAAGAAAGAAAGTGTGCCAGGCACAGTGGCTCATGTCTGTAATCCTAGCTACTCAGGAGGCTGAGATTTGAGGATCACAGTTAGAAGACAGCTCTGGCAGGAGAGTCTATAAGACTCTTATCTCCAATAAACTACATTAAAAAAAAAAAAGGAGGTGGTGCTGTGGCTCAAGTGTAGAGCCCTCATTTTGAGCAAAAGAAGCCCAGAGACAGTGACTAGGCCCAGAGTTCAAGCCCCAGGACATGAAGGAAAAAAAAAAGGTAACACAACCCAACTCAGGAAGAACAGACACCACCCAAAGACATGCAAAGTCAAAATGCACAGAGAAAAAAGCTCATCATCCTGAGTCACAGAGGAAGAGAAACTCGCCTAGCAGAGAGGAAATGTAAAAGAGATCTGAGGGTCACAGTGATGCCCTCCAAAGCTGCAGAGTGGCATAAGCATGGGGCAGGGCAGTGGGCAGCTGGCAGCTCCCACACAGTGGCACATACGCATCACCCAGCCTGCCATCCAAGGGGACTGAAGACATACCACATTCATGCACACACTCATTCAAGAGGCCAGGTGCAATGACTCCTGTCTGTCATTCCAGCCACTCTAGAGGGAAAGATTGCAAGGATCATGATTCAAGGCTGGTCCAGACAAAAACTTAGCAAGACCCTCACCTCAATCAATAAAAGCTGGGCATTGTGGTATATGCCTGTCATCCTAGCTATGTAAGAAGCACATATAGGAGGATCACAGTCCAGGCTGGCTTGGACATAAATGTGAGATCCT